AGTCCACCTGGAGGGCAGCAATGGCTCTTGTTGTTCTATGTCGTATCATATCAAATATTTGATTCTTTTGTTTAGTTTTAATCCCTTAGGTCTTGCACCTTCGGGGTGTTCTTTGTCCATGTTTGTTGACATAGCTTGCTGTCATAGAGTTGTTTTGCCAGCTGCTAACCGTCTTTTTACTGTCCTGCTCTCCTTGTGTGTGTACGCTACACAATTCAGCAGTAGCCTAACTCCACTTGAAATAACGCGCGAAGTCAGGATGTAGCGTCCAACTCCTTTTAATTAGTAAGTATTTCCTCATGGAGTGAAACTGAAATACAAATAACATAGCTAAAATTAACTTAGCATCATTAGCGCGACAAAAATAGATTCCAATACACATCCATTAGCATTAGCACACAACTACTAAAGTTTTCATCTACAGCAATTGTTTCCACAAAATATACATAAAATACAATCCTACAATTCAATACAAATTAAAACTTACAGACGGTGGTGTCGATGGCACAAACAAAAGGCAGATGTCGCTGGGTCAAATATCCCCACATGTGATCCGCTAGGAACTAAAAACATGGCTGACTTCCTGTCACTTCCCGAAACTGTTTTTCAAATTAAAACGAATTTCAAAATAAAATTTGCTCACTGCAAAGAGCGCCTATATTGCAATAAAATTAAGAGCGAAACATCCACACCAACTTTGCAGGAATAAAATATAAATAGTAAGACATCAGGAGCACATACAAAACAAGACAAAGGCACACACTGGAGAGCAAAGTGCTTGGAGGTAGTGCAAAGGACTTGGTGTGAGTGTGTCAGTGTCCTGAGTGATGAGGGTCACTCAGACCATGGCACAGATTGGTGAGGAGAGGTGAGTTTGTTAGCAGTCTGAATGGCCCAAAGGAAGAAGGGGCATCAGTGACCAACATATTTCCATCACTGTGACTGTGAAAACAATTTACCATTGATCAGTGTGCTTCCCGTTCCACTCTGTTATACTCTGCTAATCTGTCAGATGTGTCATTTTGTTAAACGTGAAGATAGCTGAGTGTCCTGCAGCCAACCAAATCTGCCTGTGGGTCCAATTAAAGGGACCTAAAGCTGTGTTAGTTAAAATTAAAATTCTGGGACACCAGCAGCTTTTTGGTGTAGACAGAAGTTTATTGTGAGAAAGAACAGAATAAAATTGAACATGTAAATACAAATAATGTTGATGGCACCTCTCCACTGACCATCTCCACATAACATATCCGCAGCGCTTTCACTTCCCTATTGTACAGTTATAGATCAAAGGTTTAATCAGCTTATAACCAATGTCAACCTTCATTTATCTTTTCATCCTTATTTTTTTGTTTTCATTACGATAACACAAGTTGAATCACACCATCATCCTATTACATTACAGTTAAAAGTTGGATTTCATGGTAATTAGTGCAACAGATTATTTTTTTTAACATTTTACATGACCTTTCCATCTAATTCTTTGTGCTTGTTGAGGTCTTCTATCTTCAAAACTCTGTGATCTTTCCCATTCACAGGATCTGTACACACAAGCTACTGCTTCTTCAGCCTCTCCATATCATCAGGACACAGGTCACTCTCTGTCAGCATACACAAGTTTATCAGAGCTTCCACCTGCAAATATACATAGACATTTGTGAACATGGGAAACGACTTAATTTTTTTCAGTGGAGGGGGGATATTTAGACATCAGCAGACAAAGTCAAACTAGCCTTCGCTTGACTGAAGGTATGACAGCTCCACCTCCACTTTAGACTCTTTTATTCAGATTGATCATTCTGGCTTCAATAGTCACTTTCCCCAAACCATCATCGACGTAATGCTACAAGACTGCTCAAATAAGTTCTACAGTTAATTAATGTTTCAATCTTAAATATGATTAAGCTATTTGTATCAATAGGTTATGCGCTACAAGCCTTTAAGGTGGCAGGAATTAAACATTACTTACAAATCTGTGACTTGATCCAGCTATCTACAAAGCTATACAAATATCTAACAATTACATGGGGAAAATCAGCCTCATAGGCTATAGGTTTACAGAAAATATTAAAAGAAAATACATACATTTAGTAATAAATGTAAAGCAACATGGGCACACTTAAACCATCCACTGACCTCAGAGTCTTCAGTCCACAATTTGGTTTCTCCACCAGATCACACAGCTGCCTCATGTCTGCATCTTTCAGTTTATTGTCAGTTAAGTCTAGCTCTTTTAGATGTGAGGGGTTGGATTTCAGAGCTGAGGCCAGAGCTGCACAACTGATTTCGGACAAACTGCAGCTATCCAGTCTGAAGAAAGAACATAAATTCATTAGACAAACTTTCTAAATTAAATTACTCAGTGTTTCATATCTCTTCCGCACACAAGAAAGTTTAGAGAATATATATAAATTCAGAAAAAGAAAAATCCAAACAGCACATGCCAAAATTCTTTAAGAAATGCTTTGAAAAGTGTTGAAAGGTGTATCTCTATGTCTTTTGAGGCTATTGCTATTTTCCTATGAGATACATGTTTTTTACCTTAAATAACTTAAATGAATATCTTTTATTTTTTTTATTTTTTAAAATTGGCCCAGCTTTGGCCCATGGGACCTCCCTGGGCTCATCCTGACAGAGCAACATGGATCCACCCTCTTTTGGACCCACCAATCACAAGAGGAGCTATGGGGATCCTCTGCAGAATGAAGTAGGCAATGGTCAGGGGTGAAGTCCCTGGGGTTTTTAATCTAATCCAAAACTGGTTCTAGTGAAATCAATGTCACCTCTCTGCAATAGGTGTAGGCTGCTGGGGGATTCCCATGATTCACTGGGTGTCTCTTCTTCAATCACTATGTTTTAATAGACCTCTCTGCACTGAATCATATCTGTTATTAATCTCTGTCTCTCTTTCACAGCATGTCTTTAACCTGTCTTCCTTCTCTCTCCCCAACCGGTCACAGCAGATGGCCCCGCCCGTCCCTGAGCCTGATTCTGCCGGAGGTTTCTTCCTGTTAAAAGGGAGTTTTTCCTTCCGACTGTTGCCAAAGTGCTTGCTCACAGGACGTCATATGATTATTAGGTTTTTCTCTGTATCTATTATTGTAGGGTCTAGCTTACAATATAAAGCGCCTTGAGGTGACAGTAGTTGTGATTTGGCGCTGTCAAGAGGTGTTTCTCCATGCCACATTCCCTATCTATTTCATTTTGTTTTTTCAGCCTTCTTTGTGTACATACAGTCTTTTGTTTGTTTTTTTTCTATTGTTTTTCATTTCTTTCCTTTTGTTGTTTTGTTATGGCCTCTGTATCTTCCATGCACTGTTTAGGTTTGACCTTTGCTGTTTTTCTGTGATTCCTCATATTTAGATTTTTTTTTTATATACACTGATGTTTGGTTTTTGCACATCTTTCAAGCAGCCAGAAACCATTATTTCTTTAGCTATTTTTGCATTCTGTCATCCGACCTTGCACCTCTAATATATAATCTAAGAGAATTATTATAACATGAGCTTTGTGTCACCACAGTCTTTATATCATAAAAAAATGACTTGTCTGACCTCAGAATCTCCAGTCTACAGTGCCGACTCTCCAGAAAACCACAGAGCTGCTTCACTCCTGAATCCTGCAGGTCGTTGTTGTGACTCAGGTCCAGTTCTCTCAGATAGGAGGGGTTGGACTTCAGAGCTGAGCCCAAAGGAGTACAGCTAATCTCTGACAAACAGCAGCCCATCAATCTGAATTAAGGAAATTATATTGCAGAATGACAAAGACATTTAATATAGGACTAATATAGGACATCCAAAAGCATTTCCATTCATTTCATTTTCATTCTTTGTAATCCCTCTGTGTATCCCCAGGTTAGTTTGTTATCTAGGTTTAGGTTTCTGTTATTATGCTTCCCCCATGTCCCTTCTTGTGTTGTCAGTTTTGTCTCTGTTTTTCACTTTCTTTTTGTGTGTCGAGGTTGTGTCTCTGCAATCTGTACTTTCAGCCTTATTTTGTCAGTGTCTTGTGTTAAGTTTCTGTTTTATTGTTTTGTAGTACTGAGTTTAATTATACTTTTTCTGGCCTTGTTGTCTCTCTCTGGTTCCATGTTTAGTCAAAATCAGTGTCTGTTTCCCCTTTCCTTGTGTATATCATCTGTTTTCTGTTTTATTCTGATAGCCACTTGTCCTGCATGCATCATGATCATTTTTGCTTCCCCTGTTTCCTCTCCTGTTTATATTGTCTGTATCTCTAGCTGTGCATTGTCGTGATCTCCCTTATTTCGCCAGCTGTGTGTCCTGTTAGTGTCCAGTGTAGTTTCATTGCTAATATTTCTCAGTGTATGTTTACTTCAGTTCTTTGTATTTTAGTTGCCTGTGACTGTAGTAATAAAGCTGTTTCAAGAACTCAGGCGGTCAGCACTCTGTACAGGCCAGTCAAATTGTTCCACACCAAACTCACTTATCCATATCTTTATGTGTCTTCGTTTCTCCACTGGTGAGCAGTCATGTTGGAGCAGAAAGGGCCATCACCAAACTTTTCCCAAAAATTTGGGAGCATAACATTGTCATTGCTTCTTAATTCAGATAAAACTGAGGTTATTGTACTCGGCCCTGAAAATCTTACTTATGGTATCTAACCAGATTCTTACTCTGGATGGCATTACCTTGGCCTCCAGTAACACTGTGAGGTACCTTGGAGTCATTTTTGACCAGGACATGTCCTTCAATGCACATATTAAACAAATATGTAAGACTGC